TGGAAGCAGTATAACAGTATTATTATAATAAAGAATTTTTCCCAATCAATTTAAAAATTTAAATTATTTTTTAGTGACATTCAAACCAAGTATTCAAACTCCAACAATAAATGCTTCACCACTTACTGTAGAAAATTTTAAGCTGAAGAGATTTATTAAATTGTTCTTTAAAATGCTTTGAAATTTTTGTGAACTTAATCAGCTTATCGTAATCTTCGCTAAACAATTTAAATTACTTTTATTTACAAATAAACAAAAATTGCATTCGAATAAAAATCATCTCTTACCCTTTTTTATATGAAACTGTTATATACTTATAAATTATTCTGTTCAACATATAAAATACATGCAAAAATATTCAAAATAAAATATTTATTGTGAAAATAGAAAATGGGATAACACTTGAACTAAATCAGGATAATTAAGTTCACTTTGTAAAAAAGTTATAATTTTTACAAGTTCAAAAATCACTCTTAATGTTTGGAGAAAAAATAAAAGATACAATAAAATCTCGAGGTCGGGTTTTTTTTTTTTGGGTATACAAACTCGTATGAAATATTGTTTCAAAATAATTTTAATAAAAATCTGGGAGAAAAAACGACTGTAATTATTGTATGAGGACTTCAAAAGTGTATATTTATTTAACAAAAATATTTCACCGCACTTAAGACTCTTCAGACTGTTTAGCTACTCTGTTTTTTTTTTTTTTGTTGTTATTCTTTTGTCCATTTTAATCAGAAAAAGTTGATAAATGAAAAAAAAATGTTCTTTTCAAAATAAGAATTAACTAAAATGGCTTTCAAAAAAGTTTACCAAATTTCTATACAAAAAGTGTATAGCTATGTATAGATTTACAAAAATTATCTAAAAACAAAAAATAGGTAGAGGAAAAGAATAGTAACAGCTAAAAAGCATCCTTAAAACTCTTAAATTATTTAAGTGGTCGCTTTTTATATTTTATAATGAATGAAAATATAAAACAATAGATAAAAATATTTTATTAAGATAAATCGGGTGGGGGTGCTCAAATAAAATTATTTTTTTTTTAAATTATTTTAATTTTCAAAATGTTTTATCTAATTCTATAATGGTCCTTGCCATGTACATGCAATATTTTATATAAATATAATTATTTTAATTAGTTCGTATAATCGCTTTAATGAAAATCTTAACAATTTATTAAAGAATATTGTGTAAAATTTTTAATGGAAATAATACAAAGTGTGTTTTTTTAAAAAAAGGGTTAAGTGCATAGTTTACACGCTTATAAAATTTTAATATACACATAAAGAGTTGAGTTATTAGCAATAAAACGGCTTTTACGAATATTTAAATTTAGGCACTTTAATAAATTGCATTTATATGAACTAGAAAATTGCAAATTTTAACTTTCATATGCATTGTGCTGTCATTTCATTATATTGATCGAAATTTAATCCGAACACTTATTAATTTATTAAAAATATGAAAGCAATTCTTTGTCTAGAAGCAAGAATCACTTAAAGTTGGTTATAACCATTTCATTATTGCTATCACTATACTACAAATTGAAAATAGAATTTCAATTTTTTTTTATAGTGATAGCAATAATGAAAATGTTGAAATTATTTAATGAATCTAATTTGTGTGACTGTTAAATTTTTGGTAAAAATTACGGCATTGCTTAAAAATTATGTATACACTTTGATCTTACGTTATTTTTTTATATTAATTAGTTATTACCTCAATATCACGGGATATTGGTAATAAACGGGCAAAATATTATAAACAAATAAGGTATAATGCTTTCATCGCATACATTAAATTTTAGCTCATATAGACTTATAATGTACCGCAATTTTATCAAATGGTGATAATCATTGTATTCACCATACATAATACCAAATTATCATTATTTCCGTCAGATTTCTTTACGAATTCGACCGAAAATCTAACAAATGAAAATATGAGGTAACAATTACGCAAATTCGTGGAACAAATAAAGGTTTTTGCTGTAATAGTTTACTTTAAAATTTTGTCAATACTGTACAATGTTGCTAATGCGTAAAAAAATGAGGAATAGATGGATTTTCCCATACAAAATACCAAATGTTACGAAATCATACAATTATTCCGAAAAAGTAAGGGCTAACTAATACAGTATATTAAATATGCTTAAAATAAAGTCAAGAATTTTGTACTAATCCTGTTTGTGTATACACAAAACCTTCACAAATACGGATTTACAAACCATTACTGCTCATTACTGCAATATGCCGAAACTTTAAATAACTATTATAAAGGTTAGGTTAGGTTGTCGCGGCTCCCCGAAGGGAACATATAGGCAAATTAAGCCCGCTATGGTACCGCCGGATCTCTTCTCTCCCGCGCCACATCTGAACCAGCCCGAACCCCTCAAAAATCGGTTCAACTATTTTAAAGCTATAGCACAAATTATTCCAATTATATTCCAGTTCCTCCACATAAAAACACTTAATACGCATAAAAAAAACTTCATTGAATTCACAAGCCTATCTGTATTTGCACTAAAAATAAGACCTTTAATTTTCAATTAAAATTAAATTTCCGTTCAATTATTTTCATATTCCGGATTTTTTCACCTTAGCTTTTATAATATTACGAATATGTATATGGTGTCTTAAATATCATAATGTCAAAAATAAAATTTGTCACCTGCAGGTGATATAGGAAGTTATTTTAATTATTAAATTTGTACCTTTTATTTTCAACTACCCATCTTTTTTAATAATTTTTTAATTGTATTTCAATCGAAAACGTACTCTTTTAACGTAAAAATTTTCATCTTATTTTCCCATTTCCTCTGTTTCTTCCGTTTTATTTCATCAATAATATAATCAATTCTCAACCCGCCTATGTATTTTTTCATCAAATTATTGTTGCAAAGGAGTTTAACAACAAGGTATGCAATTATATTATGTTGAAGAAATAAGTAGGTATAGGTGAATTTGTATTTACCTTAAATTTCATATTTTCTGATTTTGTCACAATATTTTCTTGAAATGAGTTAATAAGATTTATGTGGTTTTTCATTTCTATAACGTGCTGTTGTATTTGTATGTGTTTCACGTGAATGTGTTCTTATATAATGTGCTTGAAACTGTCATTACTATAAAAGATATTTTTTCACAGAGTCATCACTTTTTACCGACCGTATTGTGTAAACAATAGGTAGGTTATGTGATGGCAACAAATTTTGCATATCGAGTTTTCGGTGGGAACGCACTTCTCCATAGTAGGGTAAATACACTATTTTTAGCAACCTGTCGGTCTGTCGGTCTGTCGGTCTGTCGGTCTGTCGGTCTGTGTGTGCACGCGTGTATCTCAAGTTCGGCTGAACCGATTTTGATGAAATTTTATATGTAAGTTTGTTTCCGCCATGGCACGGATCGATCAACTTTTGGTATATATCAGGCCTCGGGAACTGCACTTTTTAGCGGGCCTGTTTTACATTTTTGAACATTTTGAAGAAAATATTCAACCGATTTACTTGAAATTTTATATATAAGCTCAGCTCGACCGTTTGCAAAAATTCGTATGTTTTGGAAGAAATCAGGCATCGGCAACTAGACGTTTACTACGGGCCAAATATACATTTTTGTGTATATTTCATATTAAACGATTTCATTGAAATTTAATATATAAATTCCTCGTATGAAAACTATGAACATATAAATTTTTTGGAAAGATCAGGACTCGAAAACTGATTTGCGGGCCGATTTTACATTTTTCACCATTTTGAAGAAAATATTCAACCGATTTACTTGAAATTTCATATATGAGCTTTGTTTGACCGTCCGTGAAAATTCCTAGCTTTTGGAACAAATCAGGCATCGGCAACTGGACGTTTACTACGGGCCAAATATACATTTTTGTGTATATAAAGAGAAATAATCAACCGATTTCATTGAAATTTAATATTTGAATTCCTTGTATTAAAACAATGAACATGTAAATTTTTTGGAAAGATCAGGGCTCGAAAACTGAACTGCGGGCCGATTTTACATTTTTCACCATATCTACGGAACGAATTGATGGAGTTTCTTGAAATTTGATATTTGAGTTCTGGTTGTTACCGAAACTAACTGGCGAGCATTTCAGGGAATTCGGGTGGCACAAAGAGAAACTCTACTAAGAGCCAAATTTACATTTTTCTAGGTATGTTAACTATAAGCTTACTAATGTCCTAAAAATTGGAAAGAAGTATTTAACAGACATTTTTATAATATTCTGTAACACTTCCACTTAACTAGACAATACACATTGCGGTCGGTTATGTGCTGACCACATCAGATTTTTATTAATATTTTTATTAGTTATGAGACTAGGACGTTCAGAATTGTTTAATTGGAACGTATGTATTATTATGAAATAAGTTTCTTTTAACCAGTTGCATAATGCATATATAAATTGAGAAGTTGAGTGTTAAAATTTTTAGAGAACAAATACACAATTTTACAAGGTTTAGTGCACCGAATCACATATTTAATTTACGAAAATACCGAAATATTCTAAAAATAAACAAGGTACCAAAATCAACCTATACGCTATGTTGTCCGAAAAAATGTATTACGGAAATCGATAATAACTTATACAAAGCACCTTATGCGATGGAAATGCGGAGTGAAGTGATTCCGATTTTGATTTCCGATTTCGACTTGGATATCAAACCTATACAGCATTTTTAAATGTTCCACTTTGACCCTGAACGTGCTTGCAGTAGCTCAAAACTCTGCTTTCGAGTTTCCATATATTTTTGACTTTTAATGAATGCAAATATTTTGAAATTAACCCATTACGTTTTATGTGTCACTCGTAAACTTTCAAAAACTTTCAAATCAAGGCGCATTACTAATTAACCTTAATTTTAATAGAAATAATAAATATTCAAATTTTACGCCCTTATCAACACAATTAGTTTTATAAATGCAAAAGGAATTTAATTTATTTACAAATAAATATATGTGTTTAAATAAACTTACCTCTTCCACTTCTTCCAACAAATCTTAAATCATTAAATTTGGCAACAGAATTTTTCATAACAGCTGTACAATTTCTTAATTCACCACAATAATTTTCATCATTACCAGCTCTAACCGTTACCATTGTACCATCACCAATATCACCTAATGCTACAACTTTAAAGGCAACCGGTAATGTTTTATTTGATCGCCAATGTGGTGGTAATACTGTACAAACGAACATTGGACTACCAGTTCGTATTAATTCACCAGGATGTTCTGATAAAAAATCACCAAGTGTACGTTCCGCTAATATATCTGATGTCATTTTTGTATATGCTTCTTGTAAAAGTTGTGCAGCTGTTGGTGGTGTATTATTTTCTGTTGAATTGTTTGTTCCATTTGAACCAGTTGAATTTGAATTACCATTACTATTATTGTTATTATTATTATTATTGTTATTATTATTATTGTTATTATTATTGCCAGATGAATTGTTATTATTTCCATTGTTATTGTTATTATTATTCCCCGTAGGGTTAGTGTTAGCTGTTAAATGCATTTTAAATTTTTTATTATTATAAATTTGTTTTGATTTAATCAGAGTCGGGGTATTTTTTAGACGCAATTTGATTGGATTTTAATTAAATATTTTGACGGTAAAATCAAATATTATTAATGAGAATTTTTTTTTATATTTTATATATTAATTTTTTAATCGAATTGTATTTTACATTTTAATAATAATTGAAAATATCTGTAAATAAAATAAATAAATAAATAGAGTTATTATAAAATATTATAATTATTATATGGAGTAGATATGTATGTATGATAATATGCGAATATTTATTTAAAATTAATTGACTTTTTCAATTAATTAATTCATCTAATACAAAATTATGTTAAAATTCCATGTATGTATGTATGTCATTAATTATAGAATATTATGTAGGTATGTATATAGATAACTGCTTATTAGAATTTAAATTGGCTTCATGTGGTTTTCAAAAATATTTAGATTGTGTATAAATTAAAAATAATTATTTGTATTGTAAAAATTAGATAAAAAGATTCAAGAATTCTGTTATCTGCCCACATTTGGTTAGGATAATGTTAATACATATATGTATGTGCATATATTATATAGTGTTTATTAATTCTAACAGATCATATTAAAATTTTTGTGATTTTTCTCAATATTTTGTGAAACATGAATTTATGAGTAATTTGTTTAGTCACCATAATCTTTCAGAATAAAATGAAACATGATTATTTAATTTTCATCAAGCTTTTTACCGGGCAAGAGCTTTATAATCCATTGTATCTTATGCAATTGCTTCAAAACTAAATATTGTAATGTAATTGACAAAATAATATAGTAAAAAATCTTAAATCCTATATCAAATATGTCGAATTCATATCAAAGGGTGTTATGCATATATTTTGCTTTTACATTAAAAGGACACGCTTCATAACTTGATTTACATTAAGAAATAGATATTTTAATTCTAAATAAAAGTGAGAGAATTTTTTTTTCTACAAAAAGAACTCTATATATGAACGCACACCATGTATATTATGGTATATATTCCAAATTCTTAAAAAAAAAATCAGTTCATTACCATTCATACGCATGCACATAAAATTTTTAGGCATTGAACATGAAAATTATTTCTACGTCTATAGGTACATGAAATGTCTAGATGTACATACATACATAAATATTGTAAAACCTCATATTATTACAAATTTGTATTAAGTTTTAAGTTTTTCTTTCTGTCCAAAAACTATTTTATTCCTTTTATATTTATTGGTTTTTATTTTTTTTTGGATTTTACTTTCTGAATTGCTTTCACCAAAGATATCCACAATTACTATATAAAGTTAACATATCATTTACCACAAAACTGAACCAAAAATCTGAAAACCTAAATGCGTGTAGATATTCGGCCTCAAAATTAGTGTGTATAAAATGTAATAAACACAAGATCTATTGATTTTTTTTTGTTTGCTTTCATGTATATACGATCAGCTTAAGGATATAAAATTTTTGTTCTAAAAAAAAAAATAAAGTTTTTTTTTGTAATGCGAAAATATTATCGACTTTGTCTTGAATAAAAAGATTTTTGATAAAAATATTCAATCAATCTGGCCGATTATTTTCGAAAGGAATGGAAAATATTTTCAATTTATTATTTTGTTAAACGGACGATATTAGTTTGGAAAAAATTAATAATTTTAATTATAGGCAAGTTCTTTGACAAAATTTATTTGTGTTTTTAAGGAGGCCAATGTTTATACGTATGTATATGTAATAAATCATACGATTAAAATCTCATATAACCGCTAGTTGCCTTTCGCTACAATATCACACAAATCACTTCTCAATAATTCAATTAATTTACTTAAATTCTTACTAAATTCCTTGGCTCTTAATGTTGTGTAAACGTAAAACGCAAAAATTTCAAAGTAGTTTGGGCTAGTAACTATGTTACAGAATATTTGATCGTAATCATTCTCTTTCATTTTATTCATTTCATCTTTGCAACCATGACACAAAATACTTTAATCAAAAAAATTAATTTTAGTAAACTAATTCAAAATTCAATATTTTTTCACAAAACTTATTCTGCTTAAATCAAAATTATCCTAAATTTTTCAAAAACTTATTTCAGATTACTATTTTCTAAATGATTCGAAACTGTTCCATAACATTAATTCTTTTCATTTAAAAGCAGCTCTCTACATCATAGTGCAAAAATTATACACCTAAAATATACTTATAGGTACGCAATTTTTTTAGAATTCTTGGACCTAATATTTTTCCTAAAATTCATCATGACCACAAAAACACATACATATTATGTGTATTGCGTTAAATCTCCATACTAACAAATATAAAGGATAATATGCGTACACGTCATATGGAATAGTGTATGACTTGATAACATAGAATGCCTTTCATTTTAGAAAATTAAGGAAAATTGCAATAAAATTCAGTCCGGTATTTGTATTTTTTTTTCTTTAAATACTTATATTGTGTATAAATTAGAAAATGCATTTACAGAGAAAAGTAAATTACAAAAAAAAATGAAAAATTCATTTTCTCTCAAAAATTGCAATTGAAAATTTTGTTTTTCTACTTATACACAAAGACTACGTGTATACAACTATAATATGAATGTGCTTGTGTATAAATGTTTAGAAATATCTGGTTTTTTTGGTATGTGGTATTATGACTGGTTTTATACTAAATAAATAGCAACAATTAAAAAAAAAATTTAAATTTACCGTCGGTAGGCCTGTTTATTATGCATAAAGTTAAAGAAAAGTTAAAGAGTTTGAATTAAAATTAGAAAATATCAGTCATGGAATGAGATTTTTCAAACTCCTTCTGTATATGTACATTATTTAAAATAGCAGTAATAATGATGATTATTACAAAGTATAAATGATTATTGTAGATATTGTGGCTATATTATCGGTTGTTATATGAACAGCAATTTTTTTATTTTATAAAGAATATTATTGAATACAGCATACATTCAAACAATAAATTTAGAGTAATAAGAAGTACTTGTGGTATCTATTTGCGATTTCCGACGCAAATTTCATTTTTTAAATAATAATACGAGACTTGGAGCCGGTTAAAATTTATAAATTTTTAAATGATGGTGTTAATTTAATTAAATTTAAAAACACAGATGTTAAATAGGAGTTACATAGACTATAGGTTTATGGTCAACAAAATTAAAGGTATGTTACACCATTGCTCATTACGCTATACAAAATCCATATATTCAAATTTCAACAATTTACTATTAATATTATTTGCTTTTTTGTCAAAATAATTAAGTAAATACATGCATTGTACACTGTACAATTATAATGAAAAATAGACCACGCAGTCCACTTTATTGCAGCGGTTCGATACGTTTGATTTAAAGGATCCGATTAAGATAACAGTTAACTTATAACAATTAAATGAAAATTTCGCTCAACTACGAAAGACATTTTTCAATAACAGACATAAAATTTTGATAATCATCAAAAATAAATCACAATTTTCACAGTATTTTCGCTTCAAGGAAAAATTTGTAAGAATAACACTAAATGTTAAAATAGCAATTTTTCTAGTGTCTCTTAAAATTTGGAAATAATTGTTTTATTGGAAAAAAATTCAGTGTGCTGTGTACGACTTTGTAACCGACATATTGTTGAAGAACATTATCTTTCTAAAATCGGTAGTAATGATTGTCTATAATATCTGAGTTTGCACAACAAAAATTAAAGGAAGTAAAATAATCAAATCGCATCTAAAAATTTTTGAACCAAAAATTTTAAAATTTCCTTTTTAAATTTTTAACGCCTGAATGATTGTAATCAAGACGATAACAATTAAAAGCATTTATATTAAAATACAGCAAAAAAAATAGCAAGCAAAATATCCTTTTTCATATCCTTATTCATTATTGTCTCTTTTATAGTATTGCATATTATAGGAAACTAATCATAAACAGAAGATAAAAGCAGATTTCTCTATTTATACACACAAAATTTATTTACATATATGATGTATGTATAAGTGTGTATTAATAACATATGCTTTTTGCTTATCCTCCGTACAACTTATTAATTATATATTGTGAGATCCTTTTTTACTATATTAATAAAAGGGTTTAATATTTTATTAAATCCCCTTTTTAAAATCTTTTAATTTTTTTTTGTATTTTCATCGTTGTTGTATCGCATAAATAAGAATACGAGGTCGACATACGCAATATGAATCAACACTCACACCTAGCCTATATATATACATATAATAATGTATTTTATATACAGAATGTGCAATTATTAAAAGCAACAATTACTGTAAATTTTCTAAAAATTAACATTTCCTTGATTGTTCTAATGAATATATGTGATGGTTTGTTACAGTATCTGTATGCGGATTTAAGAACTCATTCCTCATTCTTATATAAAAATAAAATTTATTTTCTCTTTATTATTTAAGATTGAATTGCTGAACTGGATGCAATTTAATTATCCAACAGAAACTTGTTCTTTATGCTATTTTCGTACTCTTTATAAAATTTTTTGCATAATGTTCGATTTTTAATTTTGAGATTTTGAAGTAAATTTAATTGTTAAAGGTTTAAAGGACCATTCAAATACTTTTGATTTATAATGTTGTTTTTCTGTACAAATACACAGTGTCCGATAATAGATTTTGTCAGATTTTTTCCGACGTAAAACCTTTTAAGATACAACGTCTATTTCAGACTCACTAAAAATTAATTTTAATTTTAACAACTATTCCAGATTTAGGGAGAGGAAAACATGAAAATTTTTTTCTGAAATTATTATCGCCTTTAATTAAATTGTCAATACGTAATATATTAATAGCGTTCCTCATTTATTTTGAGTAAACTATCAGTAACATAAATATAATTCAGTTTCAAATCGTTAAATAAATCTTGAGTACCTTGCGGAAGACCTTGTGTACAAAATTTTTTAAAGTATAATGCAAACAAATTAATTATTATATAAAGTGTTCACAATTATGCATTTAAATAGATTTTAGTTTCTATCCAATCGTATTAATACTCGTATAATATGTATGTAGCTATAATAATGCAATTTTCGAAGTGTCCTTACAATAATTTCTCTTTTACCATTTTATTATTTTTTATTGCCCTTGATGGAAATAAACTTTCCTTCACATTTTATACTTGATTTACAGCAGTTTATCAA